CAGGGCTTAGAGTTTATCTTTGAGGTTATGGAATGCCCCGATAGGTATCGCGTAGTTTGCGCTCAGCTTCAGCTCACTGGTGATGCAAGGCTCTGGTGGAATGCCTACTGGTGCATGCGTCCTGGTGAAAAAGCGGGTTGTACATGGGACATGTTCAAGGAGCTAGTCCGCGATAAGTACTACCCTTCTTACTATTGGGCAGAGATGGAGCGCCAGTTCTTAGCGCTTCAGCAGGGCACTCGTACTGTTGATGAGTACGAGCGAGAGTTCACTAGACTTGCAGCTTTCGTACCGGATCTTGTTCGCACGGAGGCTCAGAGAGCGCAGCGGTTCATCGACGGGCTTTTCCCAGCAGTCCGTCACAACATCATGGGACATGGCACCCAGACCTACGTTTGTGCCGTTTCTATCGCCCAGGAGGTGGACGCTAGCATCAGGAGGGAGGCAGTTCGTGATCGTGCCCAGCCATCTGCCCCAATTCAGCCATTTGCAGCTCCACCAGCTTTACCAGCCCCACAGCCAACAAAGGAGAAGAAGAGGAAGGAAAAAGGTGCACAGACTGACCGGAGGACCCGACAGAGACAGCAGCCGATTCCACCGTGCCCGACTTGTGGACGACTTCATCGGGGAGAGTGCCATGTGGGACAGGACATCTGCTATTACTGCCATGAGCCGGGACATTTTGCGAGTCGCTGTCCGAAGAGACTCCAGCAGCAGCCTCAGCAGCCACCACAGCAGCAGCAGCCACGTCAGCAGGCACAGAGGCCGCCTCAGCAGCAGCAGCAGAGGGGTAGACAGCAGGCCCGGGTTTACGCGGTTGATCAGGCCGAGGCAGCACAACATCCAGGTACCATGTCAGGGATGGTTGTTCTCAATAATATTCCTGTGTTCGCTTTATTCGATACTGGAGCGACACATACTTTCATTTCACGACGATGTCTCGATGCCATCGGAGTTCACGCCGTTACCGCTATCGATCCTCTCGAGGTGAGTTTAGCCTCGGGACGAAAGATAGTGACCTCAGCTAAAGCCTCAGATCTTAGCCTTTCCATCGGTGGCCGAGTATTGACTGCCGACGCGTTTGTTCTCGAGATGAGGGACTTCGACCTTATTCTCGGGATGGATTGGCTATCCTTCTATCATGCAGATATCAGGTGTCACAACCGGGAGATCACTCTCTATCTTCCGGGAGACGAGTCGATTACTTTCTTCGGCTCCAGGAATCGTTCACTGCCTCATGTTGTTTCGATGGCGAAAGCCACTAAGTTATTGCTACGAGGCAACTGCCAGGGTTATCTGGTTAGCCTTGTCGATGATTCTCAGAAAGCGCGAACACCTCATGATGTTCCAATCGTTCGCGAGTTTGTGGACGTGTTCCCAGACGAGCTTCCAGGAGGACCGCCCAACCGTCAGGTGGAGTTTTCTATCGATCTCATTCCAGGGGCCGGTCCAGTATCTAAAGCCCCGTATCGTATGGCGCCTAAGGAGTTGCAGGAGCTTAAGACCCAGATTCAGGAGCTGTTACGACTCGGTTTCATCCGACCGAGCGTGTCATCTTGGGGAGCACTCGTTCTCTTTGTTAAGAAGAAGGACGGATCTATGCGCATGTGTATCGACTACCGGGATCTTAACCGGTTGACGATCAAGAACAAGTACCCGCTTCCCAGGATCGACGACTTATTTAATCAGTTGAGGGGAGCCTGTGTGTTCTCAAAGACTGATTTGTCAGACTACCACCAGCTGAAGATTAAGGAGTCAGATATCGCTAAGACTGCTTTCAGGACTCGTTACGGCCATTATGAGTTCGTCGTCATGCCTTTCGGTCTCAGCAATGCGCCAGCTGTTTTCATGGACCTCATGAACCGTATTTTTCATCCCTACCTCGATCAGTTCGTTATTGTCTTTATTGACGATATTCTTATCTACTTGAAGAGCCAGAAGGAGCACGAGGAGCATCTGAGGGTGGTTCTCGAAACCCTCAGACGAGAAAAGTTGTATGCCAAATTCTCCAAATGCGAGTTCTGGCTTCAGCGAGTATCCTTTCTGGGTCATGTGATTACTCAGGCAGGCATCGAAGTGGATCCTTCTAAGGTCTCAGCCGTTCAGAATTGGTCGACACCGAGGAGTCCGTCCGAGGTTCGCAGTTTTCTCGGTTTAGCTGGTTACTATCGCAGGTTCATCGAGGGCTTTTCCAAGATTGCCCTCCCTCTATCCCAGCTGACAAGGAAATCTGTGAAGTTCGAGTGGACTGATCGTTGTGAGGCGAGCTTTCAGGAGCTCAAGAGGAGGTTGACTTCAGCACCGGTGTTGACTATTCCCGATCCTTCTTGGAGTTTCACCATCTTCAGCGATGCTTCGAGACAGGGCTTGGGATGTGTCCTTATGCAGGACGGCCAGGTCGTTGCGTATGCTTCACGTCAGCTTAAGCCTCATGAGCAGAACTATCC